TTGGGGCCGGGGTCCCTGGTGCCGACCCCCGGAACCCCGGACCCCTGCCGGGGTCCCGGGGCTGGGGGTCGACAACACTGGTGCACGTGGCACTAGAGTTTCGGAAAACTTGTTGGTGCAATGAAAGAGTCGAGGGTTGAGACTCAACGGTTCCACTCCACTTTGGCGGCAGGGATGACGCACACTCAATTGAACAACCTCGTACTAGGCCTAGGGATGAAGAGGGTTAGGAAAGAAACTTTCTATAATTTCTTTCGTGACGAAGGCAAAGGGTCGCGACAGTGGCTATGTCACGTGGAACGCGTCACGCAAAGAAGCTTCGACAAGGTCATCGCACGTTTACGAAGATCAAATGATCCGGTTGTCATCCTCGTCGATGGACGTTACGATTCGTCCCGTGATGCGCAGCATTGCACGACCACCACGATATGGCCCGAAACTCGCCCCGCCGGCCTTACTCCTGCACCGCCACGACCGCGCAATACTCCTCTACGTCTTAGTCGACAGTCGTATAACATGTCGCCGTCATGTTCGTCGTTGCCTGCTTGAGGTCGTGCCTGCTCCATTACACTACGTATTTTTTGGAATGGAATTTTTCCATGTCGGCCGTCTGAGTTCTCTATGTATTTTTTGGAATGGAATTTTCCCATGTCCTTGCAGGGCAGGACCGCCCACACACTACTGTCGAGCGCATCAGTCCGGCACCGCACAAGGCAGCGCGAGACCCTCCCTCATCAAAATCCGATCAGAAACGAGGGAAATAAGTGTTTCCCCGTTCTCCCTCGTCTTCACTCCCGCCATCTCCCGCGCACCTACTTTCTTTACTAACTCTAATTTTACTGATCTAACATCAAAACTAACGTTACCATTGGGCTCGCCCTGGCCTAAAACGTGGGATTCGGCTTTTACTTTGCCGAAATCCATTAGGAATCGAGGGCGCTATGCTCTTTCCGCCCTCGTTACCTTCTCTTCGTCCTCACTGCSATCTTCATTTTCTGCTTCGAATGTACCTGGCGCGGGGGCCCGCCCAGGTTCACTCCACCTTGTTTGCCTCCTCTCCCCACTGCCTCAGCGCTCGTCTGCTGCAGCGTTGCCACTCCGCCAGCTCCTTGGTACTCTCCTTCATGCCCACTACACTACTCTCCCCTGCGAACTCGATCGGCCCCGACAATGAAGTGCACTGAGGTGAGCGACCTGTGATCTGCCATCAGGGCAGCTTCAACGCCCCGGCCCGCAGGTGACCGCGACACCTGCTGCAAAGTCCACAGCGCACGGCCCTCCAGTCGGTGCCAACCCCAACCACTACCGTCGAGACCCACTAAAGAGTGTGTAATAGCTCCCCTGCCGCATCTAACAGCCCCAACCACCGATGGTACTACAACGCAGTGAGTAGGAAGGCGTGGGCCCGCTGCTAAGCCTACAGCGTGGGCCTAGGTGAGGTGCGTCCCGGTGTATATCTTGGTGATAGTAGCGAATATTCAAAGGAGAACTTCGCAAGCCATCGCGGCCTGCTGTTGGGCCAGCTTGGGGTCGTGCAGCCAGCATTGCGACAAACTTTTACTGGCACCCCTTGGCCCTGCCCAGGCATAGTTCACCACCTTGCGGGCCCCGGCGGGCACACTCCCACTCGAACCTTTCTCCGCAGATTGTGGCTGGCGAGCGGCGCCCCCGTGGCAACCTGCACCACCCCTATGGCTGCAGCCCCATGACTCGCTCGACATGTTCCCCCATTCTCTTCCACTTTAGACTATCGACGCTCTCCAAAGGGGAAACAAGAGACGCCATAACCACGGACTCCACCACCCTCACGCATATTGACCTCTTCGGTCTATGTCTCCAGATCGGCGATTGGGGAATTCATCCGGCTCAAAGAACATACCGGCACCCGAGTGGCCCAGCCGAAGGAGGCGTAGGCTTCGGGTCTTCGAGTGCCGTGTCGGCCATCCCTGTCTAACAGTACCGTAGCAGAGCCAGGCAATTTGGTCCCGACGCCAACCCCAAACTCGATCGCCAAGCTAAAGACTTTAGAAAACGATAAAAGCACAATAAATAAATAAA